ATTTCAACAATTTGAGAAACTAGAGAAATCGATTCCATGTAAAATTACATACAAATGTAAAAAGTGAAAAATATAAATAAAAGTTTTAAATAAAATATTAAAATTTAAAAATTTAAGTGAAAATAATCTAGTTTTTATTTTTTTTGCTTCTGAGCCACACCTGGCAATGCTCAGGGGTCACTCCTGGCTCTGGGCTCAAGGATCACTTCTGGTGATTCCAGGTCCCCAGGGAACCATACAAGATGTCAGAGATCCGGATATCTGGATCAGAGTCAGGTAGGCTGCTTGCATGGCTACTATTTCTATGGCCCTGAGTTTTATTTTATACTTGAATTTTAGCACTGGAGAAGGTCTCAGAAATTTATAGACTAGTGTCACTAAACTTTTTAAAATTTTCTATTTATCACACATTACAAAGAGCATGCATTTAATATGCTCTTGTATTTAAACATATAGCTATAATTTTAGCCTCTAATACATAATCACTGTCACTGTCCTCCCATTGTTCATCGATTTGCTCCAGCAGGCACCAGTAATGTCTCACAACAAATTGTGAGACTTGTTACTGCTTTTGGCATATTGAATACGCCACGGGTAGCTTGCCAGGCTTTGCCGTGCGGGCGAGTTACTCTTGATAGCTTGCCGGGTTCTCCAAGAGGGGTGGAGGAATCGAACCCTGGTCCTCCGCATGCAAGGCAGACACCCTACCCACGGTGCCATTTAATTCCTTCTTTTCTGTGTCCATTCACCTGGTATAATTTTGTTAACTTGAATTTGATACTCCTCAGCTCTTTAATAATAAATGGTGTATCAATAATAAAAGGAGGCAAATTCACTTTTTAAGATGAATATTTTTTAAATCGAATATATTTAAGTAGACATATTCCTGTGAATTCACTGATATCAGGATGGGCTTGTCAAGTTTCATGTTCAAACAGGTTGTTGTTGTTGTTGTGGGGATTTGGGATACACCCAGTGATCCATAGTTACTACTTGTAACTCTGCTCAGATATCACTCCTGAAACTGCTAGGGAGACTCTGTGGTGCCAGGAATTGAACCGGGGGGGGGGGGGGGGGGGGGGGCGGGGAGGGATGCTGGGATCGTCGGTGGTAGAGGGTGGGCACTGGTGGAGGGATGGGTACTCGAGCACTGAATGACTGAAACACAAGCACGAAAATATGTAAATCTGTAACTGTACCTCACGGTGATTCACTAATAAAAAATTTTTTAAAAAGTGGAATGCAGTTTAATTACTTTGTTCTGATGTTTGATTCAAGCATGCTAATGGTATTAAACCACCTGTAAAGATAGTGCGCTACAAAGTTCTGTGTTATATGTAAAGGGATTTTGTGCTTTGTTAATGTAAGTTTCAGTCACTCAATTTAGTATTTTGTTAATGTTTCAACAACTCAAATTGGATTTATTGTGAAATTGGAATGTTATGTGTGTTTCTTTTTTTTTTTATGTAGGATACTGCTATTTATTCAGTCACTGATTAGCTGATTGAATTGGACATGAACTCCACCTTACTTTTCTTTTTCCATAAAGTAAAAGAAAGTAAAGGCCCTCCCGTTGTTCATCAATTTGCTCGAGCAGGCCCAGTAACATCTCCATCATGAGACTTGTTACTGTGTTTGGCATATCGAATACGTCACGGGTAGCTTGCCAGGCTTTACTGTGTGGGTGAGATACGCTCGGTAGCTTGCCGGGCTCTCCGAGAGGGGCGGAGGAATCGAACTTGGGTCGGCCATGTTGGCTGCGTGCAAGGCAAACGCCCTACCGCTGTGCTATCACTTTCATAATTTTATTTATTTATTTTTCTTCTTATATTTATTTATTGAATCACTGTGGGCAAAGTTGCTAAGCTTTCAGGTTTGTCTCGGTCATACAATAATCAAACACCTCTCCCTTCACCAGTACTCATTTTCCACCACCAAGAACCCCAATATACCCCCTTCCCACCCCTCCCAATGCCTGTGAGGCAGACGATTTCCACTTAACTCTTTTCTACATTGATTACATTCATAATTTCGACAAAATATGCACCATTATTGTTTAGAATTGCCCCCACCCCCAACAATCGGAACTGCTGAAAAGGCATTGTGAAATACTTTGTTTCTATAGCTGGTTTTGAGAATCATATAATCTTGCATGGCCACAATAGCGGCCTCGTGATTTTGGATTTCTGCAAAGAGCCAGATAATTACGAGATTGGTTTCTGTGCATCTGATGTTATGGCTGTGCTGGAGAGCCGCTCGTGGGGGGCAACTCGTGACCTCAGTAGGGCGTGAAGGACGAGCCAGTACCGTCCCCCTTCCCATGAGACTGCAGTTGCCCCGACACCACATGTGTGTTTCTTTGGGAAAAAGAGTAAAATATTTTAAACATGGAGTTCCAAACCATATTTGTGGCAGGTATAAAATCTCTGATCTTGAAACCAATTTCTAAGTGACCTTTGAGACAGATAAACTGAAAACCTTAGAGATTAGGGTTTAAAAAAAAAGCCATGTAATACAAAGTCTGATATTACATGGTATTGGAAAAAATTGTTGAAAGACAAAAATTAGGTCATCCATGAGGTGAAAGGTCTTATAAATCTGAAAAGATTCACCTTAGGCATTTTGAAATGAATACAGACCATAATAAGAGCAGTACTAAAGGCAAAATGTGCTAATAATGAAAGTGATTATATGGGAACACAGTCCTGGACTTCCCAGGTATAACCTTTAGTCCTTCTCCTATAAACACAGGGCATGAGGTGACAAAAGATAAAGCCAGGCCATGCCGGGCTGGTATGTGACAGTTTTAATGGGCAAGGGAACTTTACTACAAGATATTGTGCTGGAAGGCCAAAGGAAGAGTTTCCTGCAAGCCACCCAAAAGCCTTATAAAGGCTTTAACTGTATTTATTCATTCATGCCTCAATGACACATTTCACATTTCTTCAAGGCTCTACTTTGGAGCAGTTTTGGGAACACGTCATCTCGCTTGGGAACACATGATAAGCTGCAACTGGCCTACCCCAGCTAGGTCTAATAACAGACTGTCACATTCTTTTGATTCACTTCCCCAACAGATCGATTTCAAAGAATTGCTTGGAACTAGCATGGAAGGATGGACAGGCAGAGGCTGGCTTCTGCCTTAATATTCTTAGATGCCTACAGTACAGTCTTCTTTCCTGTCTATTTAATTAGTTCTACTGAAGCACAATCATCAACAGAATCACTGTCACTGTCCTCCTGTTGTTCATCGATTTTCTTGAGCGGGCCCAGTAACGTCTCCATTGTGAGACTTTGTCGTTACCGTGTTTGGCATGTCAAATACATCACGGGTAGCTTGCCAGGCTTTCCCATGCGGGCAAGATACTCTCGGCAGCTTGCCGGGCTCTTTGAGAGGGGTGGACGAATCGAACTCGGGTTGGCCATGTTGTTGGCAGCATGCAAGGCAAACGCCCTACCCGCTGTGCTATCACTCCAGCCCATAAAATAAAATTCCCTTAAGTTCAATGAGTTCCGATAGATGTTCAATAAAATGAAGTAACCATTGTCCCATCAAGATAGGGAACATTACCTTCAAAATAAGGCGGGACTGTTTGAGGGGGAGGAGGGGGGGGGCGGGAGGCAGTGGCATACCCAGTGGTGCTTGAAGTGCCCCCTAGTGGTTCTTGGGGGATTGCAGTGCAGTCTGGAAACTGAACCCTCATTGGAGGGGGATGCAAGGCAAATTCCTTGAGCCTTGTTCTGTCTCTCCCTCCCTGTTGGGAGTTCTTCCTGGTGCAGCTCCCTGACCATATTGGTGACGGGGCTCCCGGCCTTGTAAAGGGTGAACTGTTGCCCGGGGAACCGGCATTTCCTGGTGATTAGTGGGGCTCAATGGCCTTGCAACGGCCGATGGCCAGAGTTCGCTATTAGGGAGGGCCAACACCTGTATTGTCCAAAAAGCTATTTTCCTACTTCTGCATTAATGCACAGAAGTCCCATGACCCCTCATGACACTCTGTCCCATCTAGCCATGTAAGCCATAGAATTCACTTTCCTCTTCCCATCTTGTGATTTGTATGGAATGCATCCCTTTCTGCCCCTTTATATACCATTATCTTCCCCAACTTTGGCTTAAGTCTACAAGTCTACGACCCATGGGGGTGACTTTGTCTCGGTCATGTTGCGCACACAAACCTTTGAGCATTTAGGGACCAGACAACTATCTCACATTCCCAGGGCTCAGTAGCTGCTGGCTAAATATTATTTTCAAGCCGGAGCCCCTAACAAGCAATTACTCATCAAGTTTCCATCATTAATGTTTTCATTTTTTTATAGGTTTTCATATCATGAACTATATGAGTGTTCTGTTTTGTGTCTGATATTTTCCACTTGACAGAATCCTTTTGATAGTCATCCATATGGTTGCATTTATCAATAGATGTTTACTTTCGCTGTTGAGTTTATTTTTCTGGCAAGGGGTGAAGGTTGAGTCACACCCAGTCGTGCTGGCGGTCAACCACATAAAGCAAGCATCTGAACCTCTGTACTATCCTGCGATCTACTCAGTGATGTTTTAACATGGGGATAGAATGTTTACTCATTCTCCTGCTGATGGACATTTATGTTGTGTCTCTTGCTGCTGTTGTTTTGTTTTGTGGGGGTAGTCACACCCAGCTGTGTTCAGGGCTTACTCCTGGGTTCTCCACTCAAGGATTACTCTTGGTGGTGCTTGGGGGACCATCTGTGATACTGAGGACTGAAGCAAAGTTGGCTGCATGCAAGGTAAGAGCTTAACTCATATACAATGTATCTCTGGTCCTATTGTATCTCATCTTTTGCTATTATTAAGAAAACTCAAAGTTTGAATGTGAAACTTAACATTTATTTTCCTTGAGTAAACTAGGAATGAAAAGCCAAAGTTACATCATAAAGAAATATTTGTCTTCCTCGTACCAACTAGCCTAAAAAGAATGAAAGTTTGAATGGAAAGGATGAATAATACAAAATTTCTTTAGTCATATCTTATAATAAAATTTATTAGTGAAACTTTTAAAACTAAATTCATATATTTTTCAACTCTATAGAGTCACACGCAGTCATATACATTCAACACATCACAAGATAATGCTTATTAATATGTAGGAAGGTATGATTCCTTATATACTTCCATGCACCATTAGTAAAATATTCATATTATATGAAAAAGAAAGTTACATTAAGAATTCTATTATAATTTGTTCTTTTTCGGCTCTGAGGCCACACCCTGAAGCTACAGCCAGCTCTGTGCTCAAGGGTTGCTCTCAGTGGTAATCAGGGTACCATATGCAGCGTCAGGGAATGAGCCACAGTTGGCTGCATACAGGCCAAGTGCCTCAACACATTTACTGTCTCTTCAACTCTTGAATTCTGTCTTAAGGATGACAGAATCTCTCATTTTAAAATGAAGATAATTTTCATTACCCACCTTCAAAAATACATATTTATACAAAGCTAACCTTCGTCTCATTTCCTCATTTCCCAAAACAAAAACATTACCTACATTCACAGTATCCCCTAGATTAGTCCATTTCAATAGAGAACTGTCTGAAATCTAAAGTTTAAATACCAGACTCCAATAAGCTTTCACATTCAGCAGTACAGAGAATCTTATGACAAATTATAGTTTTAAACAATCAAAATTACAATTAGATGTCCCCTTTTTAAATGACGACTATGTCACAGAGGTAACTACGGGAACTCACTCAATTGTCACACATGCAGAGATAAAAAATCTGAAGTGTATTTTAAATATTCTTCATTCTAAAAATGACTATTTTACAATATTAAGATCTTCAAAGAAACAAACAAAGATTTTGATCAAAGCGACTATATAAATGACAAAGTAAAACTTTTACTATCAGTTACTTGCTAAATTTACTAGTTCTGAATCCTAAGCTCATTTCATTAGAGAAAATAAAATTACTCTACAACACATTTTTTTCGGAAGCAGAAACTAAAATGCTAAAAAAAAATATGTAACAGAATAACAAGACATTTCCTGATACAAATGATGTTTAGATTGCTTTAACTCCATACTTGGAAGTACAACGACATATTTTTTGTAAACTAATCACATAAGGTGATTCTAAAAGTCTAAATTTCCTATCTACTAAATGACCGACAACGTGCCACCACACCACTAAAACACATCCTATGTAAACTTAGGGCACTTAAAACACATTAAACACTTAAAACCACTTGCCAGGAGATAGTGGGCCCCAGTGTAAAGACTGGAAATTTAAGGCACGGATACTGAAGTGACACACAGTGGTACCAGACTTAGACAGCAGAAGAGGCAGTCCCATATGTGTTCCCTCAAACCCCAAAGCCACTGCCTACATCAATGCACCCAGTCCTTTGGGTGGCGCAGAACTTCCAGAATTTCAGCTTCTTTGGAATTCTCTGAGGGTGAGTGCATGTACTCCCATCTGTGCAGGTACAAAACAGAAGCAAAAAATATAATCACGAAAATTATAAATGGCACTCGCACACCACTCCACTGAAAAATACTAAAAAAACGTGTACGATGCCTTTCCTTGTCTCTGATTTGCTTAATGTGTCTTGCACCCACTTACCTTTATAAAGTAGTATGGGCCAGAGCAAGAGTACAGTGGATCCTACTTGCCTTGCACACATGCAACTCCCTTTGATCCCTGGTGCCCCACATGATCCCCCAAACCCCGGGAATGATCTCTATGCACAGAGCTAGGAGTTAAAACCAAAGCACCATTGGGTGTGGTCCCCAAACCAAACAAATACAAATAAATAAATAAACAAAATGTATTAGCTGCTAAAGGAATAAAGTTTCTTAATTAGTCTAGTAAACTTGGACTAATATTATGATCCCAATCAAAATTTGCTTTTACTCTAAACAACAATTTATCAAAATATAGAATCACAGTCCATCAATGGGCAGTCTTTTTTTTTTTAATACTTATGCCTTTAGAGTACTAATTTTTATTTATTTTGGGAGGTGGAGTGGAGGGTTTCGGCCACACCTTGCAGTGCTCAGAGCTTACTACTGGTTCTGTACTCAGAGATTACTACTGGTGGGTTTTAAGGGACCATAAGCTGTACTAATGATAAAATCAGGGTCAGCTGCATGCAAGGCAAGCGCCTTACAACCTGTACTATTCTCTCCAGCCCATTCTTTTTTTTTTTCTTCAAATTTTTATTAGCTCAACACCATGAGGTACAGTTGTAGACTTACAATTTTTTGTGCTTGGGTTTCACTTATACAATGATTAAGTACCCTCCACCAGTGCCCATTCTGCACCTCCAATGCTCCCAGTATCCCTCCCATCCTCCACCACTCCCCCCATCTCACCGCACCCCTGTGGCAGGGCATTCTTTTGTAATCTCTCTCCTTTGGGGTACTGTGGTTTGCAAAAGAGGAATTGATGGCAATCATGTTCGGTCTATAGTCTATTTTCAGCATGCATCTCTCATCCTGGAAGGATCCTCCCAACACTATTTGGTGCTCCCTTCTCTATCTGAGCTGCTTTTCCCCTAGCATGTGCAGAGGGCTTCCAAGCCATGGAGTGAACTTCCTGGTACTTATCTCAAATATTCTTGGGTGTTCGACTACCATTCTGTTATTTTATATTACCCAGATGAATGCAATATTTCTATGTCTGTCCCTCTCTTTGTGACTCATTACACTTAGCATGATATGTAGTACCACTTGTATGTAAATTTCATGACTTCATCTTTTCTAACAGCAACATAGTACTCCATTGTGTAGATGTACCAAAATTTCTTTAACCAGTCATCTGTTCTTGGGCACTGATTTTTTCCAGATTCTGGCTATTGTGAATAGTGCAGCAATGAACATAGAAGTGCAGATGTCATTTCGACTGTACTTTTTTGCTTCTCCAGGATATATTCCCAGTAGTGCTGTCAAATGGGAGCTCAATTTCTAATTTTTTGAGAATTGTCCATACTGTTTTCCAAAAGGGCTGAATCAGACAGCAATCCCACCAATAGTGAAGGAGGGTCCCTTTCTCGCCACATCCATGCCAACATTGGTTGTTTTTGTTCTTTTGGACATGGGCCAGTCTCTGTGGGGTGAGATGATATCTCATTGTTGTTTTGATCTGAATCTCCCTGATGATTAGTGATGTAGAGCATTTTCTTATGTGCCATTTAGCCATTCAGATTTCCTAAACTTTCCTAAAGAATTTAGCAAAATTATGTGCCATTTAGCCATTCAGATTTCCTAAACTTTCCTAAAGAATTTAGCAAAATTCCTGGTACTAATCTCAGCCACTCCTGGGTGTTAGTCTCTCATTTTTTTGCTTTATGTTCCGCAGATGAATGCAATCTAACTTCTTTAGGAAAGTTTCCTTCATTTCATCACCCCATTTTTTGATGGGAGTAGATGTTTTCTTCTTGTAGAGTTCAACCAGTGCTTTGTAGATTCTTGATATCAACCCCTTATCAGATGGGTATTGGGTAAGTATCCTTTCCCATTCTGTAGTTTGTCTCTGTATTCTGGTCACTGTATCTTTTGAGGTGCAGAAGCTTCTTAATTCAAGATAGTTCCATTTGTCTATCTCTGTTTCCACTTGGTTGGTCGGTGGTGTGTCGTCTTTGAAGATACCATTAGCTTCAATAGATGAAGTTATGAAATTTACATACAAGTGGTACTACATGGAAAGTATCATGTTAAGCGAAATGAGTTGGAAAGAGCAGGATAGACACAGGAAGATTGCATTCATCTGCGGAACATAAAGCAACAAAATGGGAGACTAACACCCAGGAATGGCTGAGATTAGTACCAGGAATTTTGCTCCATGACTTGGAGGCCAGTCACATGTGCTAGGGGAAAAGGAAGCTCAGATAGAGAAGAGAGCACCAAATAAAGGGTGTTGTGAGGATCCTCCCAGGGTGGGAGAAGCATGCTGAAAGTAGACTATAGATCAAACATTATTGCCACTCAATGCCTCTCTTGCAAAACACAGTACCCAAAAGAAGAGAGAGAGAACAAGGGGGAATGCCCTGCCACAGAGGCAGGGTGGGATGGGGGGGATGGGGGGTGGGAGGCATGCTGGGACCTGTGGTGGTGGAGGATGGGCACTGGTGGAGGGATGGGTACTTAATCATTGTGTAACTGAAACCCAAGCACAAAAATTTATGTCTATAACTGTACCTAATGGTGTTTCATTAATAAAAAAAAATGGGTAAAAGATCTCAACATCAGGCCAGAATCCATAAAGTACACTGAAGACAAGGTCGGCAAAACCCTCCAGCCCTTTCTTACTTTCTTAAAACCAAAAAAAAATCAATCATAGATCTTTACACCACTAATTTGTTATTGTTACTGTTGATGCTATTTTAGCAGTGCCAAGAACTGAAGCCAGGACCTCACACTTGCAAGGCAAATATTCTACACTGGGTCTAACACTGATCATGTCACCCCTTAAACAAGTTTGTTTTTCTTATTTATTACACTGCAATTTTTCTAATGCAAATCCAAATCCCAAAAGTCTTTAGATGAAGACACTGGGGTGTTCACAGCCTTAAACTGTGGGGTTTAAGGGATGGAGGTGGGTGAATAAGAATGATAACTCAACCTTACCGGGCAGTCAGAGGTAAAGACATCAAGATGCTCTCAATCCTGGAGCCTGGAGTGAAGAGCCCAAACTTTGTGCCCCGATCATACAGCAGATTAAATTCTACATATCTGAAATAAAAAGACAACAAACAGCATTAAACAGCAGAGTCAACAGAAATCTTGATAACTGGTTCACAAAAAATACATAAAGGGGGACTTCTTCGGGTGACCCCTCCAGCCACCACCACCACTTCCATCAGCTGGGACTGGCACAGGAAACAGCAGCCTACAGTTGAGTTTTCTCCATCTGGCCTGGATAAATAAAAGGGTATTCTATCCAAGGAACAATAGCACAGAGACCCAGCAGCAACACAGAGCAGCCGCAAAACAACAAGGTTCTTCTCAAAAATAAACAGAAGAGACACAAAGCTGAGAACTCAAAGGAGTAGCAATTTAAAGACAACAATGACAACAATGCTGCACCAAGAGGTCTCTCTGCCGCCAGCAGCATCGTCCTGCTGCCTGTGCAAAAGTCACACAGACACCGCTGTCTGGTTCTTCTGAGGTCATACGCAGGTTAAACCTAGGTTTTGGGTTTTTGTTTTTTTTTTTAAACCAATACAGTCTTTGTAAGGTTTTTCCCAATGATCAGTTTGGTAGAACGCTAAATATAGAAATTAAAGTTTCCCTCCTGGGACTGGAGCGATAGCACAATGGGTAGGGCATTTGCCTTGCATGCAACTGACCTGGGTTTGATTCCCAGCATCCCATATGGTCCCCCGAGCACTGCCAGGAGTAATTCCTGAGTGCATAAGCCAAGAGTAACCCCTGTGCAACAATGGGTGTGACCCCAAAAGCAAAATAATAATAATAATAATAATAAAGTATCCCTCCCACACCCAAGGTCTGAAAAGTAGACTTGACAGATTTATCTACTCTGACCCTGAAAAGTGGTCCTAAAGTAAACTGCCTGAAAACACTGGATTTCCATGACTACAGGTGGGAAGTTTTCCAAGTGTGGTTGAGATGTTTATTTTGAGGCAAAGAACAAGGAACATAAAGACTGAAGGGCTGACAAACAGGACAACTGGATTAACCAACACTTGTTAAAGGGAGAGCCAGGGCAACCGTACAGCAGGTAGGGCACTCACCATGCATGTGGCCAACCCAGGCTCTATCCCTGGCACCTCATTTGGTCCCCTGAGCCTGCCAGGAGTAAGCCCTGAGCACAGCTACGTGTGGCCCCAAACCAAACACCAAAAACATTGCTAAGGGAACATTTTGAAGATTAAGCCTTAAACTCTAGAACATGACGCAGCTGACAATATATCTTCGTAAGCTGGAGAGACAGCTCAGAGCGGGGTGCACATGCAGGCCCGAACACCATGTGGTCCCGAGCACCTCCAGGTGCTGTTAACACCGTTTTCTCAGCCCTAAACACTGCAGAGTGGCCTGGCCCAACCCCTGAAGCATCAGCCTCATACCACACAGACAAGTGTCACTCTGGTCCCCCAGCACCACAGGGAAGGTTGCCCTAAAAAATGTACTACCATCAAATAATTTATGTTATATACAATAAACAATCCTTTACATCTTTGTTTAAAAAAAAAAAAGTAGTAAATGAGGATGTGGGTAGATCGCCTACATCCTCCCCTATGCTGAGTAAACCCTGGCAGCACTACTGTTGGAATCATTGGTTGCAAAACTGGATTGTGCGACCCCAACAAGAATCATAGGTCAGTGTGTGAGCACCACAACCAAGCACACGACCCCAGCAATCACTAAAACCAAAAGAGAGAACCAAGGCGGTCACTGCAGCGACGGGATAAGGAAAATGAAGTAGGGGCGGAATAAAAATTTTAGAGGGGGGAAAAATAGAAGGGGAGAGTGAGAGACAGAGAGGGAAGGAGAAAGGGAGAGAGGGGGAAAGGGAGAGAGAGAGAGGGAGGGAGAAGAGAGCCTTTATAAGACAGCACAGTTCCCCTGGCCCTTCCCCCACCCCCTATCTCCCCCCCACCCCCAGGAGTGATTCCAGAATGGAAGATTTCCCTGACTAGAACATGCTGGTACTCAAGTAAATGAGATGTCAAGCGATTGATACCAACATACTGATAGTGATACATCTACTGCTGACACATTAAAGTAGCTAACAGCACTAAAATGTAGTTGTATAACTTGGCCTTGCCATAGACTGATTAGAATCTTAGTAAAATATGGTGGCTGAGATGCAGTTCTTAGTTTCACACTTTTAAGAACAGTACCTTTAGCATCGGCTAAAATCTAGCTTGTTACATTAGTTCTCCATTAATTGCTATAGTCAGAACTAAAACTTTTTTTTTTAATCTTAAAACTCTGTGATTGCCTTTAAATCCTGGATCCTTTATAAAAGGATTTCTTCTCCCCAATTTATAAAAACAGGACTTACACTGCCCAGAAGGATTCAGACTGTCATAAATCTACAACTTTCAGTGACTATTCCCTCTAATATTTCCATTAAGTGTTTGCTTTGCTTTGGGGCCACACCTGGCAGTGCTCAGAGATCACTTCTGGTGGGCTCAGGGGACCACATGGTGAGGCAGGGATGGAAACAGGATTGGTCACGTAGAAGGCAAATTTACCTGCTGTACAATTGCTCCGGCCCCAAATATAAATATTTCTTCTATTTAAATGCATATCAAGGAAAAGTTATTCTGTTTCAAATATCCCTAAAATACTCTTCCCCACTGATTCACACCTGGAAGCAAATATTCTCTCGACTCCCACAGTACATCGATTTTCATCCTTCTACATAAGAAAAAAATAGTCTTTGGCAACTTCCATCATACTCCTGAATTCCTTTCTCACCCTCATCATTTATCTATCATTAAGTGGATTTTGCATATTAATGCCCATTTAGGACCCTCTTGGACCCGGTCCAAAAGATAATCTAACTGAAACTTAACTTCTTGCTGACCGAGACCATGAATTTCAGTCTCTCACCAGCTTTTCACCCTTTCTGAAATAGGATATATAAGAAACAGCTGTGATTCTTTAGTTTAAGAGCCACTTTTCAGAGCCCTTGTCTGTAGTCCCCTAAATGAGCTTCCTCTGAGGTTCCTGGGTTGCCTTTTCCCTCGGTTTTGACTGAATGGAACCCTTCCCCACCCCCCCTCCCCGCCCCACACACACACCTCCCTGACACCTACCAGGCTTCACCTTGCTGTGGTCTTTCTCATCCTTTCTATACCTGTATTGTCTCTGAAGTACCTGCGAAATGATGAACTTTAATCTTTCTCTTCAACTGACCTATTGCCTAAATTTTACCCTCTCTCTTTCCCCAAACACAACAAAACAACAGCAAGTTAATAAGTTAAGAGTCCGCTCACATCTGTCAAGAGGAAAAGAAGACTATAAACTGAATTTCAAGAACTGGGGGGGAAAAAGTGAAAGCAGTGGGCGAAAGATTGAGAGTGGCAGGTAAGAGCTGACGATGGCAAAGGGGAAGCCGCCAGACCCGCCGCAAGGAAACTCAAGTGTGAGGCAGGGGGTGGAAGGTGACAGAATAAAATGTGAAGGGTACAGATAAGGTTGATGAATGCGACGTGGTGCTGATGACTGGAGTGAAAGCAAGGTTATCTCATGCCCCAGAATTTCCCGCCATCTTCAGGCCCACAGATAAGGGTGGTAGGAGGCAGCTCTGAAGAACAGTCAAACCACACCACAGGAAATTAATCTAACGGCCCCCACACTGCCTAACTCGGTGACACCTGGCATGTGCTGATACACACAAAGGGAATTTCCACAAAGTCTTGTTATTAAACAGTTGAAAGAAAGAAAGAAAAACTATATGTTTGGTTTTTTAAGCTGGTCTTTTGGAGGGTGGGGATGGGCGTGGGCTAAAAGTCCATACTCCTGAGTCAGAAAGTAGAAAAGAGAAGTTTGGCGGGGAGGGGTGTGTGTGTGTGTGTGTGTGTGTGTGTGTGTATTTTATATATATATACATATATATATATATTCCTATGTCTGAGAAATTTGAAAGATTTCACCTAATTAGTATTCACAAAACCTGCACTTTCTGTAGTTTTGAATGATTCTCTTGGGTCTGTCTTCCCCACTGAAGGAGTTGTGAGCTACATCAAAGCAGGTTTGTGACACACTCACCTCTATAGCCACAGGGGACATGTCAAGTCAAAGAAGAAGGGAAGGGTAAAAGTGTATTTGACAAATCACCCGAAACAACAATGAGAGAGAAAGAAAGGGAGAGAAAGGGGAGAGAGGGAGGTTGGGGGGAAGAGGGGGGGAAGAGAGAGAGAGAGAGAGAGAGAGAGAGAGAGAGCGAGCTAGCTCATGCTATTGCTCCAGTCCCTAGAATATTATTTTTAAGCTGGTCTTTTGGAGGATGGGGATGGGCGTGGGCTAAAAGTCCATACTCCTGAGTCAGAAAGTAGAAAAGAGAAGTTTTGGTATGATCCTGAACAGGGAATTCCTGGTTGATAAGAAGCTGCTGAGAGCCAGCAGAGCATTACGAAGCTGATTCCTAAAAACAGCCCCTGACCACACCCTCAAACCAGCTTCCAGTACAAAGCACAGAGCCAGGTGGCTCAAGGACTGTCTTAAGCTAAAGAACAAAAAAAAAAACTCAAGCACAACCCTGCTTGTAATAACTTTGTGTATAAGAAAAACCTTGCAACCCGCTGAAGTCAAAAAGACCCAGATCCACCCTGAGAGCTTGGATTACCAAATGAATAATCTTGGCTTTCTGAGAGTAGGTTGAACACCTATAAAGTGATGTTATAGCAATCTCAACCGTTTTGGAGAAAATGAGATATAAAACGCCTAACACACGGGTGGGTGCACAGACTGGACTCCACAAGTTGAAATGAGTATTTCCATTACAATGGCTTCCATGAAACTTAAAGACAGATTTTTTTTTTTTAAAAAAAGGGGCCATTCCAAATTTAAGAAAAGATTCTCCCATATCTTGGTAGAATACCTAGAGTATTGCTAGAAGACTAAATGAAATCAGCTGAATTCAATTCTGCATATTTATGGGGCTGGGATGATAGCACAGCAGGTGGGGCGTTTGCGTTGCACACAGTTAACCCAGGTTCGATTCCCAGCATCCCATATGGTCCTCTGAGCACTGCCAGGAGTAATTTCTGAGCGCAGAGCCAGGAGTAACCCTTGTGCATCGCTGGGTGTGACCCAAAAAGTAAAAAAAAAAAAAAAAAAAAAAACCCTGCATATTTAAATTAGTCACTGCCTGCTATAATTAAACGTATTACTTGCCAATGCTTGAGCCCTTGCACAGCAGGCAGAGCCCGCGTCCAGCACACCACTGACCCAGGGACGGTGTATATGATCCCTGGCACGCCATGTGGTCCCTGGAGTCCAGCCAGGAGTAAGCCCTGAGCAGGTCTGGCAGGAGTAAAACCTGAGCAGGTTCACACCTGAACAGGTGTGGCCCCAAAACAAACAAAAATTAGTACCTGCCTGCTGCAAAGCACTACTACATAAGTAAACTTTGCTTCCCCCCCCATCTTACATAATATTTTTACTTAATAGGCACATAGTTATGAACAGACTCGCACGAGTATGAAGCAACCGTGACAAAATACTGAGCTAAGCTGGAACATTGCCCAGAGCCGTCACAGCTCCCGCTGCCCCTCAGGGTGACGCAGGGAAACGCGCTAGCGGGCCACTCTCACCGTCCCCTCCGCAGCTGCTGCCACAGCTTCTCCTGGGGGGTGAATGAGTCACGGCAGTGCTTCTTCACCAGGGGAATGTACGAAGGAACCACGGCCTGGGCACAGCTCTTCACGAAGCCAAACACCTCCTCCTTGGACGGAGAGTCCAGGTCGTCGAAGAAGATCCCGCCGATGCCCCTCCGCTCTCCTCGATGGGTGATGAAAAAGTAATCGTCACACCTAAACAAACCCGGCAACCACAGGCGGAGGGGAAAACAGAGACAGGACAATCAGAGATAGCTCTGGCTGTGATGAATGCCAACTGGCTGCCCTTATCTTTAATCTCACAGTAAACTAGGGATTTCCTGAAGCTCTCACCAGTGTAGAAAATGCAATGCAGGAAAAGAAAACTCCTACTATGTAGCTGTTAGAAGAGATGAAGTCATGAAATTTACATACAAGTGGTACTACATGGAAAGTACCATGCTAAGCGAAATGAGTCAGAAAGAGAGGGATAGACATAAAAAGACTGCTTTCATCTGAGGGACATAAAGTAACAAAATAGGAGATTAATACCCAAGAATAGCCGAGATCAGTGCCAGGAGGATTACTCCATGGCTTAGAGGCCAGCCGGGCATGCTAGGGGAAAAGGCAGCTCAGATAGAGAAGGGAGCACCAAATAAAGGGTGTTTGGAGGATCTTCCCAGGATGGGGGAAGCATGCTGAAAGTAGACTATAGACCAAACATGACTGCCACTCAATGCCTCTTCTGCAGACCACAATACCCAAAAGGAGAGAGAAAACAAAAGGGAATGCCCTGTCACAGAGGCAGGGTGGGATGGGGGGATGGGGGATTGGGAAGGATACTGGGATCCATGGTGCTGGAAAATGGGCACTGGTGGAGGGATGGGTATTTGATCATTGTAAAATCAAAACCCAAGCACAAAAATTTGTAAGTCTACAACTGTGCCTCATGGTGGCCTCATGGTGTTTCACTAATAAAAATTTAAAAAAAAAAAGAAAAAGAAAACTCCAGCCTGCAAAGCACCAGGGGGGTCAACTTCTTTCTCAGGGGCTCCCAAGGTGAGTGGGCAAGAGTGTTCCCCGGGCGGATGGAACCTGAAGGTAATGGCCTCTAGTGCAGTTAGGCGGGTACCAGGGGCATGGGGGTGGGGGAAACTGAATTTAAGGAAGAGAGTTCCAGCAGGGAGCTAAGTGATTCCCTTTCCTTGGAAAAGAGGGCTGTGGTCCAGTAAGTTTGAGACCTCTAAAAAGGAGGTGGAACTCTGGGAACTCAAGTGATAAAACGAACAGGAAGAGTAGGACTTTTTCTTAAAGCAAGGGGCGCCACTACTTTTGGAAGGGGAGGAGGACAGGAAAGTAGAGTCAATGAGCAAGAAAACAGGAGTGCTTAGTAGCATGTCTGACAGAGGAGAGGGGTCTTCAGACAGCTACCCTCTGTGGGTGAGCTCACAAAACAACCCAACTTTGCTGGAGTTTTTTTCCTCTGTAGCTCGTAGAGCAAGTTTTTCAAACAATAATTTTCTAAAAGCTAACTTTGTGAAATAGTCTAACACTGTGGAAATAGTCCTTCTGATGATCTTGACAAAAGTCCCTAAATAAAATCACCTGTATAAGGGGCCCAGAGCAACAGTAGTGAAGGCACTTGCCTTGCATGCAGCTGACCCTTGTTCAATCCCCAGCATGCAAGAGTTAAGCCCTGAACACTGACACATGTGGGCCCACCCCCACCAAGCCCTCCCCAAAAGAGAAAGACCTGTACAAACAACCGAAAACCTATTTAAAATGTTACCTTAAAAAACTAGACAGGGAAGGTACTTGCCTTGCAGGAGGCCAATTGGGTTTGATCCCCGGCAACTCATATAGTCCCCAGAGTACCACCAGAAATAATTTCTGAGCACAAAGCCTGGAGTAACCCTCCTAAACATCACCAGGTGTGGCCCAAATACAAAAATCAAACAAATGGCTAGAATGCTTAAATTCAAAAAAGAGAACGAAAAGAGCAACAAAGGCGAATCCTGGAACGAATGCAGTGGAACAATTCACGCAGAACTGTAGGCTTTCCTACACCTGCATATTTCGTTAACAAAGATAAAGCACATTCTGAGCAGCAGTCAGCTTTAATTTAATCACATTATCACAAAATCTCTCTTCACAGGACCATGAATTCAATGAATTAAAACTAACCTATATCCTCTATATTTCATTTATATTAAAGTCATCTCAGGCGCTGGAGAGAGAGTACAGTGGGTAAGGTGATTACCCAGATTCAATTCCCCACAAATGGTCCCCAAAGCTCAGCCAGGAGTGACCCCTGAGCGTAAAGAGCCAAGAGTAAGACCTGAAAATCACCAAGTGTGGTCCCAACACGGAAGGCAAAATATTAAAATAGTCTCAGTAAATGCAAGAAGAGGAAACCAAAAATAAAGGATAATCTACCCCACCAACCCTGCTCTTGTAAAGGATGTTGACTTGTGAGAGAAAAAAAAAAGATCTCTCATGTTATATCCCTGTAACTGCAGTTTTCAGTAGTACTATCTCTCAAAACAGACAGAACTGTTCAGAGTTGCATGTGTTCTTTCTTTTAAAGTCAGAGTTTCCAAAAACCAATGGAGGAGAATGAATGAGAACTTATGATATTACTACAAAAATAACTTACTAAAACTGTTATTTTACTCTATAGTACAAAGAAAAACAGTCCACCCTTCATAACCTCAAGTAACATGGTAACCGCCTTTGCGATCTACAAATACAGGAGGATATACTTTCAGGTTCATGGCAATCCAATACCTTTACCTACCATTTTTTGAATTTGGGATAGAGATCTGTACCATGCGGGTCACAAGCCTCCTTCAGAGTTCTGTGAAAATGTACAGCATCCTCTTTGTTCAAGTATGTTGGAGTGAGGTCACATCCACCGCCAAACCACCACTGCGTGTTACCTGCCAAATCAAGACATGACATTAATGCAAACTTCACAGGGCCTTATTGTTGTATTACAGAATTTAGTTATCAGCTTAGTTTATGAAACCAAAAAAATTGAAAAAAAAAAAAAAGCCCCATGGAACTGGAATTCTCTGAATCGCCCGTAAGGCTTAGAGAGAGGCAAAAAAAAAAAATGGTTAAAGCAGAAACAAAAGAGTTGAAAGTAGAATCAGGCAAGGAAATGATATCCACAGTGGCAGGAATAACCAAACATCTCACTCACGGGACACGCAGCAGATCTCAGCCTTGGAGAGAACCACAGGTAAAGTTTTTTTAAAACTATGGCAAGTCAAAACTTATTAAAAAAAAAAAAAAAACCAAAGTCCAGTCCAGACATCTATACACTCCTGAGATTCTGAGGTTCCCTGTATTTAGAATCATCGTTTCCCCTTTTCTCTCAGCAGCGTTCAAACACTTACTGGGTGGCCAGGAACATCAAGGGCCTGGTACTCATATTTTGCAAGCAAGAGTTCTGGTTTTACCCTTAGCACCCCCCCAAGAGTCCCCAGAGAACCACCAGGAATGGCCCCTGAGAAATGCACCCCCACCATTACATGCACTTAGTAAAGTCTATGGGTTGTCAAGTAGTAGTTACCAACCTTTATGCAGGAAGAAGTGAGTCAAACTGTGTTTTCAAAACAAAAAATACAAAGACTAAATGCTATCACCTATGGAAACTGCCTAGGTGCTCTGATGTGGAGTCGTGTGATGTGACTGGCACAGAAGGGCATAAGGGATCAACTGTACCCTTACTTAAACCCACAGAAAATGCTTCGGTGACAAGCAAAGTTAGGTATTTAGAAAACAAGTTTCCAAAATCAAGTATTCCATTTCAATACCTTACACATAAGGTAAGGATGTAATAAATTTCTGCAGATGAATTATTTGCAAAGAACCCTTTCTTTGCAAAAATCATTCCTTCTGTGTAAGACTCCATGCATGTGCCCAACCCGGGTTCAATCCCAAGCACCACATGTGGTCCCTCAAGTTCGACCAGGAGTGATCCCTGAGCACGATCGAGGTTTAAGTCCTGAGTGCTACCAAGTGTGGCCCCAAAATAAAAACTTCCCTGTCTTGGAGGAAACCAAGGAGCCTTACAGCCAATACCATGTTCACATCTAATATATAATCCACTGCACCAAGGAGTAAGTATTCAGAAGCGTCCTGAAAACCCCATGTAAAACTGTATTTATTCTTTGTCCCTTTCAGATGTTATACCCTTTAGACCTATTTTTAAATACATGTATTATACAGTAATACATTCTACAGTTCCAGAGACCCTTACCATCAGCTTCTTCCACTTCAAAGTATCTGTAGTTGAAATGAATAGTAGGAGCATGAGGATTCTTTGGGTGGATAACAGAGCTCACTCCCATGGCAGAAAACGGTAATTTACCTGGAAAGTAAAACACAGTCCGTATCACCTGCCTTGACACAGATGAACTTCAACATGTGTTCTAGATCAAGTTTCCAAAGGTGTTTTCTGAATGTGTCTTAAAATAGAACTTGAACTGTGAAAGTGTTTGTATGGAATACACTCTCAAATTCTTTTCTATACAAGCAATACAAGTGATACTCATTTTAGAAATAAATGGGGGGGGGGGGGCGGGAACTATTAAAGGTTGCTGAAACTGTCTGATTTACCATCTTTAGTCTTCAAATTTTTCCCTCTGCTTCTCATTTGCTTTGCTGCTTCCTCAGAAAGATTCCCATGGACGACAGAAATGCTTACGCCAGCTTTTTCGAAAACATGCCCATCTTGAAGGACACAGCTGATACCCCCTCCTCCTGTTTACAGAAACGGGAAAGGAGAGAACGTGAGGGCAGGTGCAAAACCGTCAACTCACCTACATAAAGGGGATGGGATTCAGAATGACAGTCCGTTTTCGACATCTTCTATAGTAGCAGTGCATTCAGGTTCTTAAAGTACAATAAATTTAGCTAACTGGTGTAGCGTTCTGACACTGGTTACTGACAGCAGGGACGGATCACCTCACAAAATCTTTTTTCTATATTCTTAGAACACCATCTAAAATAAATCCTGGAGCATTTTCCTTTGATCCTCCCATTCAGAACGGCTTGTACTAGTTAGGATATATGAGAGAAAGCTACCTGCTTTCAGGCTTTTTCAAAAGCAGGAAAGCCAATGGGGCTGGTGCCATAGGACAGCTGCTAGGACATTTCCCTTGCACATAGCCCACCGGGTTCGATCCCCAGCATCCGATATAGTTCCCCCCCCCCCCCCCCCCCAACCACCGCCAGGAATAATTCCTAGCAGAGCCAGGAGTAACCTTTGAGCATCAGTGAGTGTGGCTCCAAAACAAACAAACTGGAATGCCAGGAACCAGAAAAAAACACAGCCGTTAAGGCCTTTGCAGTACATGTGGCCAACCCAGTTGAATTCCCAACATTACTAAGGGCAACTCCCAAACACTGAGCCTGGGCACCTAAAAGTATAGCCCACCTCACCCCTGCAAAAAAACAAATAAATGGGAATAGCTCTAGGTAAAGTGTTCCATTACTGACAAATTTAAGCGTTTCATAAGCAGCTTTTCTCAGTCTCTATTTGCCTTTTCTTTACAGGCAACTTAAAAAAAAAAGCATATATTTGAATGTCTGGGATTTGAAATTAAACTGAGGCCATCGTTAAAATTAAATTAAAATTATCACTGAAATTAAACTGAGACATCAACACCCAGGAATATTATATTACAGGGACTTGTTTTATTATTTTTTTAAACACGGGAGTGTTTTAGATCTGCTGTAATGCGGGAGTGCTACTATTTCATGAAGATTCACAGAGTGCTCATTCAGAGTGTTCCAAGCTGGTGCGGCCATCCAGACAAGGATCCAGTACAACCCTGTTCATTTCAAAGGAGAAACTACAGCTGCGGGTGGTGGTGAAACACCACATTCAAGCAGGCACAAGCGGCAGGAGGCCCAAACAATCTATCTCAACTACTTTCCATTTAGGGACAGTCTTTCAAAAGCTCCACACACTGTCATCTCACTCTGAATATTATTCTCATGCTATTTCTAATCTCTTCTCATAGGTGAGGAAACAAGAGGAACCAAAAACCGAATTAACTTCTTTAGGATCACTCTTATAGTAGCGCTTGAAGCTGTGGCCTGGTTCTGTGGTCTCAGCTTGGAAACATTCCAAGATAGAAAATACTATGAAAACCGGACTGAAACCAGATGGGGGCAGTTCCACAACTTCAGATCTGATGAGAAATTTCTGTGGTTATTCTTGGGCTGGAAAAGTGAGGAACCCTTCCAGCCTATGATGAACAAGATACCGGATTTCACTGCATAGACAATAACAACCCGGACAATTAGTTTTTAATATGGAAGGGGGGGGTTGGAGGGTGGAGGGGGGCGGCTTGTCTGCAGTTAGAAGAAAGGATTTTTCCTAAGAAAAAAATCTGCTGGAATGCGGGAGCGATATTGAGATGCCAATCAAGTATATTCTGTGTAACGTGGGGAAAAGAGGAAGAGAACAGGGCCATTCCTTCGCCAAGACAGGAGAATGGCTGCGTGCGTCCACAAAACGGGACGAAAAAGAGGGTAAATCTATGCACCATAACAACTTGGGGCACAGACAAAGGCTTGCTGGCTGCATGCAAGCCCTAGGCTTATATTTTCTTTCCTTCCTTCTTCCCTTCTTTCGTTCCTTCTTTCCTTCCTACCTTCCTTTTTTCCTTCCTTCCTTCTTCCCTTCATTCCTTCCCTACTTCCTTCCCTCCCTTCCTCCCTTCCTTTCTTCCTTCCTTCCTTCTTCCCTTCTTTCGTTCCTTCTTTCCTTCCTTCCTATCTTTCTTTCCTTCCTTCCTTCTTCCCTTCATTCCTTCTCTACTTCCCTCCCTCCCTTCCTTTCTTCCTTCCTTCTTTCCTTCCTATCTTCCTTCCTTCCTTGAATTTTCTTTCCTCCCTTCCTCCCTCCCTCCCTTCCTTCCTTCCTTCCTTCCTTCCTTCCTTGTGTTTTCTTTCCTTCCTTCTTTCCTTCCTCCCTCCCTCCCTCCCTTCCGGGGGTCACACCCAGCGATACACAGGGGTTAACTCCCGGCTCTGCACTCAGGAATCACCCCTGGCGGTGCCCAGGGGACCATATGTGATGCCGGGAATCGAACCCGGGTCGTCCGCGTGCAAGGCAAACACCCTAAAGGCTGTACTATCGCTCCAAGGCTTGTATTTTCAAACGCCATCCGAAAACTGAGAAGCTTTTTGAACGGCGCGGCACCTGCCTTTTTAGAGATACCTGGGTCGGCGTCGGCAAACGGACTGACGCCCTCTCTGCAAACCCCTTCCCGGGCGCGCATCGCTGGACCGACCCTCTGGGAAACCCTTGCACGCACGCCCTCTCCATCCCCGAGGGAGCGCGGAGCTTTCCTGCGCCCCCCACCCCCACCCCCACCCCTCCAGCGCCCGGCCCACCTCCTCACCTTCCTTCCGCTCCCAGCGGTCCACCGAGAAGCGGGCGCCCCCATCCACCTGTGCCAGCGCCTGGCACACCTGCGCCTGCGTCTCCAGGATGAGCAGCTCCATCCGGGTCTTCATGTCGCCCGGCCGCGCCCGCAGCTCCTGCAGGTCGGTCACGGGCCGGGCCATGAAGCGGCGGCAGCGGCGGGCCAGCTCGTCGTCCTCTTCCTCGAGGCCCCGCGCCCCCGGGCTGCTCCGGGACACCATCTCGGCGCGCTCGGCCCGCCCGAGCGCCGCGGCCGCCAGCCCCGCCAGCCCGGCCAGCGCCGCGGCCAGCCGGCCGCCCCGCAGCCCCGCGCCGCCGCCGCCGCCGCCCGCCGCCGCTCGGCCCAGGCCCAGCGCGCGGCTCTGCGGGGGCGCGCACCACGCACGCAGCCCGCGCCAGCACGCGCCCGCGCCCCGCCGGCCCAGCAGCCCCGCCATGCCTCCGCGCGCGCTCCCCGCGGCCCACGTCCGCCGCCGCGCGAGCCGGAACCTTCGGGGCAGGAGGGCCACGGCCCACTCGGGCTCCCGAGCGGCGGTGGCGGCGGGCGGGCAGGCGGGCAGGCGGGCGGGCGCAGGGCAGGCTGGGAGTTGTAGTCCGCGCGCCTGTCGCCGCCTGCAGGGGCGCTGCCCCGCGATAAGGGCTGGTCCCCCCGCGGGCGCGCGCGCGGTCCCCAGAAGGGCGAGCGCTGGGCTGGGGGCGGGGAAGGTGTTTTTCCTGGAGGAAAAGAACCTCTTGCTGAGAAATCTTCTCGGCTCTGCGTTGCCAGCTGCTGCAGGGAACCTGGAGGGTGAAAGATAGGGCCAGAAAGATCAGAATGAATAGTGCAAACCGCAGTGCTCCAAAGGAGGGAGGGAGAGAGACACAGACAGACAGACAGACAGACAGACCGACAGTCAGAGAAGAAAAGCGTCTGAGGCCATGGAGCGGTGATGGGAGGGAACCTGGGAGACACTGGTGCTGGGAAATGTACACTGGTGAAGGGATGGGTGTTGGAATACTGTATGACTGAAACCCAATCATAAATAGCTTTGTAAGGGTCTATCTCACAGTGGTTTAAATTAAAAAATATATAGGGCCAGAGATCACCAACCCGCAACACACACTTTCCTGAAATGCTACACGAAGTATTTGTTCCTGTTACAAATATTTGTATAATACAGGAGTGTGTGTCTGTGTGTCTGTGTCTGTGTGTGTGTGTGTCTGCTGTTTGGGACAAAATGGATGGAGGTTGAAGGGATTCATATTAGTTAATATTAATATGAGTCTCAGTATCTGTATTGCAAACCATTATGGCCAAAAGTTGAAAGTAAGAAGAAAATTGTCTACCACAGAGGCAGGGGGTGAGGTGGGTTGGAGTTGGCAGGAGGGATACTGGGGAAATTGGTGGTGGAAAATGTATACTGGTGGACTGAAAGTCAATCGTGAAAGCTTTGTAACTGCATCTCACAGTGATTCAATTTTTAAAATGTTAAATATTAATATGAGTTAATATCTTAACAGAGCCCTTTTCTTGGGTGAAAGTATATCCATCACAGGCTGACCGATCCTTTGGAATGCACTAGGACTACAGGATGGTTTGCATTTTTGTATTGGATATTAATATAAGTCAGGGGTGTTGGAGTCATGGCAATTGATTTTACCAAGTCCATGTCATAACTAACTGCTGCCATGAAACTTCCCTAGTGATGGCTGAGATCCAATGACCCGGACAGCATACTTTGTCCAGCCACTACTGCATCTGGCAGCTGTCATGTAGGGATATGGGGTTAGCTGTGTGCACCTAAACGTGCTTGATTGCCGGGCAGATTCAATGAAAGGTAGAGGCCTGGACTTGAGAAGCGAGTTTACTCTTTTGGAGAAATAAAACACTGGCTTTTGGCCTCCGTCTGCTCACTGGGAGGCTGTTTAAGGTGAAAGGTGGTGATAAGAGCTTTTATTCTAGGAATCATTTCTCATTCTAGGAGCAGTTGCTGCCTCTTGCACCTCTGTGATGAGGTTTGCATGGGCTTGGTGGGGTTCAACGAAACTCGGTAATGAAGAGAACACTTTCTGGCCATTTATTTTCACCCACCCCAGCCCCTAAAGTCTCCATTCATCATGGACGTTTCCTGAGAAGATCCATAGTTAGTAGAAGATAAGCAGGGCACAGACCATTTTCATTCAAACATCTGCTCAGTTTGATAGCCTGGTGCTCTTAAGAAAACTATTAGTTTCTAGGTTTTCATTCCTTCCTCCTTCAGCCTCTTTTTATATCAGCAAGGACGAGGGGAGCTGGGGAGAGACCCACACCCTCGGTGCTCAGGGCTTACTCTTGACTCTGCTCTCTGGAATCACTCCTGGTGGACTCAGGGAACCATTTGAGGTCCCGGGGATCAGTCCCAGGTCTGCTGCATGAAAAGCAAGCGCCCTATCCTCTGTACTATCGTTCTGACCCACTGCAGTCTCTGTATGCAAAAGCCTCTCCTTATGCAAAAGCATCTCTCTTTTTCTTCATCGACTTTCTAGCACCCTCCTTACCTTCGCCTTACTGAACTATCCTTAAGAACCAGGGCCTGGTTAGTATGAGTTAAAATTCTATCTCCCAGCAGGCCCAGGTAGATACTTAAATAGCAGAGTCATATCATCAGTGTGGAGTAAAAGTTATCGGCGACTCAAGAAACTTCAAGTATTGGATGTGAGAGATAGCACAGAGGGTAGGGCGTTTGCCTTGCACGCGCCCAACCTGGGCTGGATCCTGACACAGTCAGGCAGAAGTGGTGGTCTCTGTTTGTTCTTGGTTCCCAGGTTCTTCAACATTTTCAAAAATGAAAATACCGAATAATAAAAATACTCAAACTCAGAGTTGGAAAGTAGAAAAGTTTATTGGAAAGTAGAAGAGGAAAGAAAAGAAGCTCCCCAAGTGGGGAGGAACTTAGTATAGGACTAAGTTAAGGTAAGAGAGTTTTGTGTAGTCTTTTAAGGGCTCCTGGCATGCCTTATCAGTTGAGAAGTGTTTAGAAATGGTGTCAGAGAATTTCAATGATGTCTAGATTGCCTAAATCTTTCTGGGCATTTTTGCCCCTTATCTTGGTCTCCCTGTCAGCCTAGGCTACGGGACTGAGTATTATGGTCCTGAAAATCTCTATGACTGCTGGAGCAGGACTTTGGGAATGAAATGTGTCAGGTCAGTGGGGGAAAGGTGGCAAGGGGAAATGAATCTTCTAGACTTAATTGTCAATTATCTCTGTTTCCTTCCCCATCAGCCTATACTGCAGTATTGCTAGTTACCTTAGTTTCCCTGTCAGTCTAGAGTCCAGGGCAGAGTTTTATGCTCCTGGAAACCCTGGGAATGCTTAGACAGAAACTTGGAGGCGGGGGGGGGGGGGGGGGGGATGGGAGGAGTATGTCAGGTTGACTGGAGAGAGATGAAATATCTGGAATGAAGACACTGTGGATTTCGCACTAGCAAGGGGAAACTGAAGCTTCCTCTTTCGATCCTGGCGTCCTATATGGTCCCCTAAGCACCTCCAGGAGTAATTCCTGAGTGTAATTCCTGAGAGCCAGGAGTAACCTCTGAGCATCACTGGGTGTGATACAAAGAGCCAAAAGAAAGAAAAAGAAATTTCAAGTATAAGAAAGCTGATGGGACAAATAATAAGGTTTTTTTTTAATTAGTGAAACACCATGAGGTACAGTTGTAACTTTCGTGCTTGTGTTTCAGTTATACAATGATTGAGTACCCATCCCTCCACCAGTGCCCATTCTCCACCACCAATGATTCCAGTAGCCCTCCCATCCCCCCACCCCATCCCGTCTCTGTGGCAGGGCATTCATTTTGCTCACTCTTTCCTTTAGGGTGTTGTAGTTTGCAATAGAGGTATTGAGTGGCCATAATGTTCAGTTTATAGTCTACTTTCAGCACGCATCTCGCACCCCGAGCAAGTCCTCCAAACGTCCTTTACTTGGTGTTCCCTTCTCTATCTGAGCTGCCTTTTCCCCCAGCATGTGCTGCCAGCTTCCAAGCCGTGGAACAGACCTCTTTGTACTTATCTCAAATATTCTTGGTTGTTCGACTACCATTCTGTTACTTTATATTCCCCAGATAAGTGCAGTCTTTCTGTGTCTGTTCATCTCTTTCGGGCTCATTTCACTTAGCATGATATTTTCCATGTAGAACCACTTGTATGTAAATTTCATGATTCCATCTTTTCTAACAGTTGCATAGTATACCACTGTGTAGATGTACCAAAGTTTCTTGAACCAGTCATCTGTTCTCAGGCACTCAGGTTTTTTCCAAATTTTGGCTATTGTGAACAGTGCAGCAATGAGCATACAAGTGCAGATGTCATTTCAACTGAACTTTTTTGCCTCTCCGGGATATATTCCCAGGAGTGGTATTGCTGGGTCAAATGGGAGTGCAATTTCTAATTTTTTGAGAGTCATCCATACTGTTTTCCCAAAAAGGGCTGAACCAATTGGTATTCCCATCAGCAGTGAAGAAGGGTCCCTTTCTCGCCATATCCGAGCCAACACCAATAACTTTTGTTCTTTTGGATGTAGGCCAGTGTCTGTGGTGTTAGATGATATCTCATTGTTGTTTTGATCTGCATCTCCCTGATGATTAGTGATGTAGAGCATTTTCTCATGTGCCTTTTTGCCATTCAGATTTCTTCTTTGAGAAAGTTTCTGTTCATTTCATCACTCCATTTTTGATGGGGTTGGACGTTTTCTTCTTGTGGAGTTCAACCAGTGCTTTGTATATCCTTGATATCAACCCCTTGTTGGATGGGTATTGGGTGAATATCCTTTTCCATTCTGTAGACTGTCTTTGTATTTTGGTCACTGTTTCTTTTCAGGTGCAGAAGCTTCTTAGTTTAAGATAGTCCCATTTTTCTATCTCTGTTTTCACTTGCTTGGCGAGTGGCGCGTCATCTTTGAAGATACCATTCGCTTCAGTGTCGTGGGGGGTTTTGCCAACCTTGTCTTCAATGTACCTTATGGATTCTGGTCTGATGTTGAGGTCTTTAATTTATTTTGATCTTACTTTTGTACATGGTGTTAGGTAGAGATCTGAGTCCATTTTTTTGCATGTAGCTGTCCAGTTTTGTAAGCACAATTTGTTAAAGAGGCTTTCCTTGCTCCACTTCACAGTTCTTGCTCCCTTATCAAAGATTAGATGATCATATATTTGGGTGGAGGTGTCAGTATATTCAACCCTGTTCCATTGGTCTACGGCTCTGCCTTTTTTCCAGTACCATGCTGTTTTAATTATTACTGATTTGTAGTAGATCTTCTTGATTCAACCTTGGGAGATTATAGGAATCCAGCAATTTATCCATTTCTTCTAGGTTCTCTTGTTTTAGGGTGTACAGACTTTTAAAGTAGTCTCTGATGATCTTTTGAATTTCTTTGGTTTCTGCTGTGATATCCCCCTTCTCATTTCTGACTCGATTTATTCGGGTTCTCCCTCTTTCTTTGTGAGACTTGCTAGTGGTTTATCTATCTGGTTTATTTTCTCGAAGAACCAGCTCTTGGTTTTATTGATCTTTCAGATTGTTCTTAGAGGTTCCATGTTGTTGATTTCTGCTCTAAGCTTTATGATCTCTTTCCTTCTGCCTGGTTTGGGCTCCTCTTATTGGTCCTTTCATGAGATCTTGAGCTGTGAAGTCAAGTTGTTTATGTGGTTCCTTTCTTCCTTCCTGAGAAAAGCTTGCAGAGCTATAAACTTTCCCCTTAACATGGCTTTAGCTGCATCCCATACGTTCTGGTAGTTTGTGTCTTCATTCTTATTTGTTTCCAGGTATCTTTTGATTTCTTCCTTGATTTCTTTCCTGACTCACATGAGTGAACAATGATGTTCAATATTGAGTTGTTTAATTTTCAGGTGTTTGATTTGGTTTTCTGCGTCCGTACATGATTAACGTCTATCTTCAGTGCATCGTGGCCTGAGAAGATAGTTGATACAGTTTCTGTCTTCCTGATTCTGTTGAAGTATGCTTTGTGGCCCAATACACGGTCTATTCTGGACAATGTTCCATGTGCACTGGAAAAGAATGTGTATTCTTTTTTGGGGGGTATAAATTTCTGTATAGATCTGTTAGACCGTTATCTTCTATTTTGTCCTTCAGAGCCATTATTTTCTTGCTGAGTTTTAAGATTCTTGATCTATCTAGGGGTGATAAGGTGGTGTTGAAGTCTCCAACTACTATTGTTTTGCTTGTAATGTCCTTCTTATGGTCTTTTAGAAGTTGTTGTAGATATTTGGCTGGACCCTCATTGAGTGCATATACGTTTAGGAGTGTGATTCCTTTCTGCTGTACATATCCCTTGATTAATAAAAAATGGCTTTCACTGCCCTTCTAATCTTTTTCTACCTGAAATCTATGTTGTCCGATACTTTTAAGGCCACTCCAGCTTTTTTGAGTGGGTTGTTTGCTTGCAGGGTTGTTTTCTATCCTTTGACTTTGAGTCTGTGTTTGCTGACTGTTCAGATGAGTTTTTTGTAAGCAGCAGAATGTTGGGTTCTGTCTCTGAATCCATTTTGCCACTCTGTGTCTCTTAATTGGTGAATTTAGACCATTGACGTTGAGAGACATTATTATGGGATTTTGTGTCATCTTTATGTAAGGGTTTGTTGTGCTTGTAGGGGTTTGTCTAATCTTACAGTAGCCCCTTTAGCCCTTCTTTTAGGTTTGGTTTTGAGTCTTTGAAGTTCCTGAGCTGTTGTTTATCCAGAAAATAGTGTACCATTCCTTTGAGTTTGAGTGAGAGTTCAGCCAGATCAAGTATTCTTAGGAAGCGTTTATTTCAGTAAGTTTTTTCACTGTATCTCATCATTGCCTTTGGGCTTGGAGGGTTGCCCCTGCTAGGTCTGCTGTGAATCTAAGAGGTTCTCTTAGATCACAGATAATAACTTTGTTAGGGTCTCTTTTAGCTGACACCCTTCAGGCTCCTTGAATCTGGATGCCTGTATTGTCCAGCTATGGGAACTTTTCAGCAATGATTTGTTTAACTGTGGCTTTTTCACTGGGGCTGTTTCCCTGTCCTGGTACTCCAATGATTCTAATGTTGTTCCTCCTGGTATCATCCCCTAGGACTCTGATTCGCTTCAAGCTATTTTGAGATCTCTTGCCATTGTTTGTTGTTGCCTGTAGGCTTCATGCAGCTCATCTTCCAGCTCACTGATTCTGTCTTCAGCTGTAGCTGTTCTACTGTTGAGGGTACACGCTGAGTTTTTTATTTCATCTACCAAAACCTTTATTCGTGACACTTCTGTGAGTAGCTTTTCAATTTCTGCCTCATTTCTTCCTGTAATTTCTCAATTGTCTGATCCATTGTTTCTTTCATGTCCTCCTTTAATTTACTGGATATCTGTGTCACTGTTTCTCTGAGTTCATTGAACATCTTCATTACTTCATATCTGAATTTTTTATCAGAAAAGTTCCTTAGGTGAGTAACACCTAATGAAGCTTCTGGAGTCTTTTCATCGTCCTCTCCTCGTAGTGGGGATTTGCATTGTTTTTTCATGTTGGTGTGGTGGTAAGGAGACTGAGATGTTACACAAGATTGCTGGTATGAGTAATTTATCCCTGGTTGTGTGAGCTGCTCTGGCCCGGAATTAGGCCACACCCACTTCCGAAGAGGCCACTCCCACTTCTGGGGAGGCCACGCCCCTACGGTACCTGGTGTATTTGGGGAGTACAACCTGGGAGGGGAAGAAGACTGAGCATGGCATTGGGGACAACAGGAAGAGGCTCAGGGATGGTGGGTGGCCCAGGGTCCCAGAGGATGCCTGGGGCACATCACAAATAATAACT